TTCTAATTTCAAAATCCACTTGTTCTGAAAAATTTTTATTACACTTGCAACACTGAGAAATAAGCGATTTGATTTGATAAAAAAAAAAGTAAAAAATGTTCTTAACCAAACGTTAGAATAAATTAGCTGATAAAATGTTTTGACACGTTTTTGACATTCGATCCTCAATGTAATCTAAGGTCAAAATATATTGTGGTGATAATGCGGGGCCCTAAAAAGTCATAACCGCCGAATTAATTACATATATCTCACTTCCATTATCCTTTAATAACTTAATTCCGATTTTGACCGGAAACCCCCGGTTGTTTACGTTGGGAAGATTAATTATGAACGTTTCCCGCGCAAACCCTTATAGGTACTTTTCACACGGACCGCCAAAGCATTTAACACGCCACAGATAATAAATTACTTTACGTATGTAAATCTAAAGGTACTATACTGGTACAATTTCGTATTAGTATACTCTGATTTGGAATCACGTATTTATCAACTGGATATTTCGATAAATTATCGTAGCACGACACGACATGATTTTATCGTCCCGCTATCACGGAATAGCATGACATTTTTAGTTGCGAAACTAAAGCGCTCTCAGGATGGTGTAGTATGTGACTACACCATCATCCTAGAATAAAAAAAAATCCTATCTATTCTAAGAAGAAATGTAAAAATCAGTTCAGAATTATCATTGTTATCACGTAATTTTAGATTATATAGACAGAGTATCTCCATACTAATGTTTCACTAAGAACAGGTAAATTTTTTTTAATCCATGCTGTAGAGTTACCATAATATACATTTATTGCTAAGCACGTGGGGAAAAAGCCTATATATTCTTGAAAAAATGTTGTTTGTGAAAAAGAATAAATATTTATTTCAAAAGTTAAAAAGTGACCATAATACCGATAAAATTCGCATTCAGCCTCACGTCACAGCATTATTTGATAAAAGTTTTTTCGGTATGGTTTCTAAAATATATAAGAAATTCCCGAAAGCATTTAAGGAAATAAACAATTTAAATGTATTTAAGAAAAAAGCAAAAGAATATTTGACAGCCAAATGTTACTATACGTTACATGACTATTACAGTGATAAATATTAGACATGCAATTTAATTATTTTTATTGACATTTTTACATTTTATTATTATTATTATTGACGTTATTTTTATTGTTATAAGTTACTATTACTTTAATTTTATATTGTACACGCCGATATGGTAGAATCTGGAATAATGGACATGTAATTATTATTTTCATCTAATGTATGTACCCATATTCGTGCAATAAATGATTTGATTTGATTTGAAAAGAAAAATATCACGTAAGATTAATTAAAATATAAAAACGATTCAAAATACTTAATGGTATTTAAAAGTATTAGCTAAATAGTCCATAATGATTCGTAACGTTGTTTATCTTTACTAAATACTTCGATTTATATTTGAGTATAAACATATAATATATTTACATTTAGTGCTATTATAATTAATACATTTATATTTTTTCTTTTTTTTTACACAACTTAGAATGGCAAACAAGCTGACGGCCCACCTGATGGAAAGTGGTAACCGTCGCCTATAGACATGAGCAGTACCATGGATATAACAGAGTATACTATTTCGCCCATGATACCCGCCACGCGTTGCCATTCCTGAGGACTCAGATGTTATTTCTCTGCACCCAGTAAATTTACGCCATATCCCACCCTTCAAACCGAAACACAGCCATGCAAACACAACTGCTTCATGGTAGAAACACGAATGGGACAGAGATACCCAAGCAATCGACTTTTGTACAAAGTCTCCCTCTGGTTTCCCCCTGGTCTCCCCCTTTGTAAGTTATACGCACATTTGTATACTTCTATTATAGTTATAAATCAAATCATATATTTTCATTTATAATTGTTTATATTTTTATTTATAATTATACAATTGCTAAATCAAATTTAAAAAGTCGACCTGATCAGGGAAATTTTTAATTTAATTACTTGCAACACTAAAAAAACATGTGTCAGCCATTTGACAATTGACTGACAAAAACTTGTCGCGTTTTTTACTCGATGCTCTACGTATAATTTAAGCACGTAATATATATAAGAAAAAGAAGAATCATACCAATTTAGAACTGCCTTCTTTTAGAAGTCGCCTAATAAATGCAATTGTATGACGCTTATAAAATTCTGTATACGCTCGCGATATCATTCAATCAGCTGTCTTTCTTTGCAGAAAACGCTGCTTATTGTGGAGAAAAATCAATTTGTTGACACACGATTTCGTGTTTTAAATTCAAATAGTTGAATTCTAATATTGTGGTTGTTTGGTCCCGGTATAGAATAGGTCACTCCTTCCTTTTCCGTGGGTGTCGTAAGAGGCGACTAAGGGAACTTAGTGAACTTAAGAACTTAGTGGTTAAAACTGCGGTTGCCAGCCTACCTGTCGAGCGTGGCAATTACTAGCAAACCTCCCAATATTTACCAGAGGGAGACTTTGTACAAAAGTCGTTTGCTAGGATACTTCTGTTCCATTCATGTTTATACCATGAAGCAGTTGTGTTTGCATGGCTGTGTTTCGGTTTGAAAGGTGGGATATGGCGTGAATTAACAGGGTATACAGAGGAATAACACCCGAGTTCCCAGGAATGGCAACGCATAGGAGGTATCATGGGTGAAACAATATACTCTGTTATGTCCATGGTACTGCTCATATTTGAAGACGACGGCTACCGTTTTCCATAAAAAAAAATCAGTAATGTTAATATTACGAGTAATGATTAATTTTATTACGATCAAGTCGTTGTTTTGTTTTATATAATTGAATGTACTTCTATATATTTTAGTAATAATAATAATAAAATAATTTATTCAGTTACAAAACAACAATATTAATAACAACTTTATAAATTAAAATAATTATTCTGTGGTAGCAGCCGAAGTGGTCCCCACCCAGCCTTAGCTGCAGCTTGGTGCTGCAGCGCTAATTTTCAGTGGGGCCACCACTCGATATATACACATATATATATATATATATATATATATATATATATATGGTGGGGTTACCATTCCATTATCATCCATTAAAAAAAATTACGTATATACGGTTCTGACATTGAAATACCTAATTATATTGATACTCATATCAATATAATTATGTACTAATGTAAGTAAGAGACCTATTAATAGATATCTTGTAAATACTATGTTGAACGCCTACGCCGAAATATTATTCAGGGGTTAAATAGGAATGCTCTAGAAATTTTATATAATTTGTTCTGTATGATGGAATGACTAGTAGATTTCACCATATATGTAATCATACCAGCCTTTAACTATCCACTGCTGAACATAAGCCGTATATTTATATTGTTACATGTATCACATCTCCATATTTAGAACTAACATAATTTTCCATCGTGCCTCCCATAAAATTGTTTATAATTACTCCTCTCCATACAAAGGTTGCCTGGAAGAGATCGCTTGTAGCGATAAGGTCGCCCATTGTTTTCTTATTGTGATTATTTCTTGTAATTGTTTATATTTATAATAAGTTTACTATTGTAATCTTTTGGAGGAAACAATAAAGAGTATTTATCTATAATCTATACTTATAAAAAATCTGTAGAGAAGTCAATTCTGTACATGAAATATATTTTCAAAATAACTATCAGGCGGTGATTAGTGATTGATACTGATGCCAAAAATGCAAACAGTAAAATTTTTGTCGGTCTGTCTGTATGTTCGTTCTAGAAACAAAAACTACTCGACGGATTTTAATGAAACTTGGTACAATTATTCTTCATACTCCTGGGCAGGTTATAGTATACTTTTCATTACGCTACGATACGAGATACGAGAGAAGGCTTATGTTCATCAGTGGACAATTAAAGACTAATATGATGATGATGATGATGATGATGATGATGATGAATATGTAATATTAAATTGATGTGTTTATTTGTATACATGTGGAAACTTTGATGCGATCACTTCAAAGCGTGATTCTTTCCCCTCATAAAAATTACTATGTATGCAGCACGTACATATAGTAATTACTTTTTTTTATGGCGCCTTAGTATAATTAATGCAAGCAGCAGCTTTCGTGTTGCTTATCAGTCGATAAATAATAAGTGATAGTACACATGAAACTGGACCTTCCCCCGAGGAACGTATTCGAGATATGAGAGTGTTACGTTTCATTAAATCAATAATATGAACGCCGTATACATAATTATTTTATATATCTTCGTTATACATTGTTGTATCATATATGTTATATAATAAATAGTATATTACTAGTGGCCCGTTCTGGCGTCGCACGGGTGGACATTTTTACATTTTAAAAATTGGCCGTTAAGGCTGTACACGCGACGGCAGCTTAAAAATGGAGTAAATTCTACCGTTTTCCCAACATTTCCCTTCACTGCTCTGCTCCTATTGATCATAGCGTGATGAAAAGTACACTATAACCTGCCCGGGAGTATGAAGAATAATTGTACCAAGTTTCGTTAAAATCCGTCGAGTAGTTTTTGTTTCTATAACGAACATACAGACAGACTGACAAAAATTTTACTGATTGCATGTTTGGCATCAGTATCGATCACTAATCACCGCCTGATAGTTATTTTGGAAATATATTTCATGTACAGAATTGACCTCTCTACAGATTTATTATAAGTATTATTATATTGAAACATTCATTTTTTTTATAAACCTACCGTTTATTTTGGAATGCAATTTTAGCTAAGAAGAATGCGCAATAAACTCAGATGCTGTTCTTTTCAAATTAAAGTTGTTTATAAAAAAATGTTATTAATTTTCAAATTTCGCGTTGTTTACACATATTTTAAACACACTATCGGGACTTCAGGCTTTTTAAATTAATATAAAATTTTGCAGGTAAATAGTACCTACATACCTGCTTCTTTATTGTCGACGTTTCAACCTAGATTGCACCACGTCGTGGTCACGACAGATACAATTTACCTGCACAATTTTTTATCGTATTAAGTCCCGATAGAGTGTTTAAAAAAAGTTAAATAAACAAAATGACTATCACAAATTTCATATTGATAATAATTAAAGATTTTTTTTTACAAAAAAAAATAAAAGTGACTTCAATTATGGCAAAAACATAGACTACATTTTTCCGTTTAATTTTTTCACTGAGTTACCTTTCCCGTTTTGTTTTAACCGATATATCACGATGATAACATAACACACGGACGAAGAAGCGGGTACTAACTAGTTACAGTAATAAAAACACGTTAATTTTAACCTTAACCTCTGCAATAAACCGTTATATCTGGCAGCCATCATATTGTAAAGACGAATGTGATCACAGTTTAAATTTAAACAAGATGCGGAGTAACCACCGTTTGTACAATGGTTACGGGTGAATATATCCCGTGTATTAACAAGTGTCGTGAATACCAAGTGTAACAAGTGACAATGCCTTTTCGTCCGTTGAATGCGACATTGCAAAATGTGCCGTGGAACGAAACTGATATATGGAGTGTATCGCCCGTGGACTTGGGCGTTTTTTATAGACCGGACGTGGTGATAATAGCACTGTACGTGGCGGTGTTGACGGCGTCATTGTCGGCGAATACGCTGCTGATTTTCATCGTCATCAAATTCCAGTATATGAGAAGGTGAGTGGTTCTTTTATTTACTATTATTGGTAAATTATGACGATAAACTTCAGAGAAAATGTATGGGATTTTATTCACCTGCTTGGAAATATATTAGGAATCCTTAGAATCCAGCAGAAGAGTATGCATTGACGGATATAGAAAAGAGAAAGTAGGACTCACCGACCGGGTTAACTTGCTGGATAGTTGAAGACCTTGGGTGCATCCCATGGCTTTGACTCCTTTTCCGTACATCAACACTGGTTAGATTCACAATTAGGATGTAAAAGACACAACAACAGAGTATACTGTTTCGCCTATGACACCCCCCATGCGTTGCCATTCCTGAGGACTCAGACTTTATTCCTCTATACCCTATAAATTCACTGCCATATCCCACCCTTCAAACCGAAACACAGCCATGCAAACACAACTGCTTCACGGTAGAAACACGAATGGGACAGAGGTACCCAAGCAATCGACTTTTGTACAAAGTCTTCCTCTGGTAAAGAGGTACAGAGTGTACGATTGATACAGATGTCACATAAATAATTGTGCAGCCATTTTATTTACTCTGTAGTTGTCTTTCAGCTTCTCAAAGGTTGACTGTAAGAGATTCCTCTTTCCTCTATAAGACAAGTTCGTCAATATATATATATATATATATATATATATATATATATATATATATATATATATATATATATATATATATATATATATATATATATATATATATTTTATGTATATATATTTTATACAATATTATATAAATGCTTTTATTTATAAAAACATCAATACGTCTCGTAAGTTATTAGCTAATCAATTGTTGTGTCTCTCTCTTTTATGTTATATTCACAGTTTGAAAGAAAGTAACAAAAATATATATCAATAGCTAAAATAGGTTTGTAGTAGGATTTAGTTTTTATGAATAAGGGGGTAATCTTTAGTTTTTTTAAGAGATGATAATGAAATGGTAATTTCACTTGCGCTATCGGTATACACCAATAGGAGATGATAAGTGAGAATTTTTTTTTTTTTTTTTTTTTTTTTTTTTTTATAGAACTTAGAATGGCAAACAAGCTGACGGCCCACCTGATGGAAAGTGGTAACCGTCGCCTATAGACATGAGCAGTACCATGGACATAACAGAGTATACTGTTTCGCCCATGATACCCCCCATGCGTTGCCATTCCTGAGGACTCAGGTGTTATTCCTCTGTACCCAGTAAATTCACGCCATATCCCACCCTTCAAACCGAAACACAGCCATGCAAACACAACTGCTTCACGGTTGAAACACGAATGGGACAGAGGTACCCAAGCAATCGACTTTTGTACAAAGTCTCCCTCTGGTAAAATGAGAAAGAAAGTAAATAAGTGAGAATGAAAAGGCAGATCAGTTAGCCCATCGTGATGAATACATCTGGAATTCAGTATTATGGTTTCCAGGGAAGACCGCGGAGAGGTCGACCTAATAGGGTATATTACCAGCAATGGGCCTATTAGACCCCATTACTAACAATCCCTTTCCCCCCGGTTGTCAGTAGTTGTAAGGCTTGGCAGGTAGATTAGTACTGCAGTTTGCTTTTAGTGATGTTTTAAGAAGAACGCTGCTGGTCATCCCTCCACCATAAGCTTCCTAAGTTAGCTTTTACGATATCCACGGGAAAGGGAGAGGTAGTCTATTCGATGTCGGTACCTAATAATGTTATGTATGTACAATAAATATTTTACTATAGAATACAATGCTTATGTAAACATATTGTTTACTTCCAGTTCACTATATTATTTTTACCGTTACTACGCGAAATAATAAATTTTATTGGTATAACAAAATTTATACGTGTAGGCGTGGCGTTTGTCCAAAGTTTTTTGTAACTTATATTACTCTTTTATTTTTTAAGTTAATAATGAAAAAAAATCATGTTTTAGACATTGTTATCGAATATATACACTAATACTAATACTTGTAAGGTAAATAGTTATTGAGATGTTTATTTATTAAATTTTCTATTGAATTTATCATGGGGAGTGCTCTGAGTAATTGTTCGGATCGATACAGCCATGCAAACACAACTGCTTCAAGGTAGAAACACGATTGGGACAGAGGTGCCTGTGCAGGCGTTTTTTGCTTAACGTCTCTTTCTGGTTAATAATATATAATGTAAATAATACAGAACTGTCAACGTTAGTGATGCATTTTCAATAACAATAAAAAATTTTACAATACCTTTTACGGTTTAGGAATCGTCCGGTGAGATTGCTTTTCGTTTGTAACTTATGTTTTATGACTCTAAAATGGACATGTGTAATATGGATGCCGATTCGATATCCGCATATTGAGTATTTCTAGACATTGATGGTAGAAAAGGTCATTACCTATTTAGATATTACCCATATCGGTTGGATATACCAGAGGGAGACTTTGTACAAAAGTCGTTTCCTTGAGTACCTCTGTCCCATTTGTGTCTTCACCGTGAAGCAGTAGTGTTTGCATGGCTGCGTTTCAATATTTGATATTACAAATTATATAATTTTTTTATACAACTTAGAATGGCAAACAAGCTGACGGCCCACCTGATGGAAAGGGGTAACCGTCGCCTATAGACATGAGCAGTACCGTGGACATAACAGAGTATACTGTTTCGCCCATGATATCCCCCCCATGCGTTCTCATTCCTGAGGACTCAGGTGTTATTCCTCTGTACACTGTAAATTCACGCCATATTCCACCCTTCAAACCGAAACACAGCCATGCAAACATAACTGCTTAACGGTTGAAACACGAATGGGACAGATGTACCCAAGCAAACAAGGTTTCTCGTTTCAAAGTTTTATTTGACTTTGAAATAGAGCAAAATGGTAAATATAAACATTCCAGTTGTTTAGAGTTTCTTCAACTTCCTGTCAAACATAATTTATCGATTTCGATGCATCATTCGCCTGACTGACGATGATATATCGGAGCCGGTCGCTTGTATAAATAATATTAAAATTTAACTTTTAGACTTACACATTCATTTATTTATTTATTTACAAGAAACGTGATAAGTATATATATGTTAACAATAGGTATAAGTACTCATATTTGGCCATAATTAGGAATGCAAAATTTAAAACTTAAAAAGTATAAATGTTAATTGAATGAGTCATTAAAACAATTATTAATATTATAAAAAAAAAATACAAATATTGATATATTATATACAATTCCATGTAAGTTGGATGTTTATAACTTCTGGATTAGAATATCATGTATTCTAATATTCTTGATGAAAAGTAGGCATAACGAGTCCATTGCATGGTTAATGGTTTATAAGAGACGACAATTACCGTGCGTTTTTTAATGCACTTTCTTCCACCTACAACTACTCTTTGGTATCAACTTCCAGCAGCAGTATTTCCAAACCGATACGACAACATAACATTCAAGAAAACAGCATATTCCTTTTTAAAAGGCCGGCAGCACACCTGCAATGCCGTAGGTGTTGCGGGTGATCATGGGCGGCGGTAGTCACTTACCATCAGGTGAGCCGCATGCTCGTTTGCCCCCTGTGTTTAAAAAAAAAAGGTCTGACAATAATAGTAGTATACTTATAGTACTTGGTATTTACATACTTTTATACCCCTAAGTGATAAGGGTCGCTCACTTAAAAAAAAAATTCTCTAGAAATAATTTACATGGCAAAAATACTATGGTATGGTTAGCTAGTAATATAGTTAAAATCTAAAATATATGTAGTTTGTATTCTATCTCAGCGTTAAATTCAACAAAACTTACACGATTTCTTATTAAGTTGCATGGACTATACGAATATTTGCCTATAATTTATCTATGAAACTAGATACGAATTAAACAATATCTTTAAGGTATCAAATGATCTTCACGGTGCCTAATGTTATTTTAATGAAGCTATAGCAATTAATATGTTTGAATAGGTGTACATTATGACAATCCTGATGGTGGAGTGGTTAAACATACCGCTTTACCTTCTTCGTTATATTTAAAAAGTTTTATTCAAAAATGTGTGTACAAAAATTAATAATTCATATAAGTGAAATATAAAGAGCATAGTAGAAGGACAAATAGAGGGCAAAAGAGAAAGGGGTTGACCGAGGAATAACTACATGGGACAGATAAAGGAAACACTGGGTGTCATGTCGTATAGGGAGGTCAAGGATATGGCCTGGGATAGAGCTGGCTGGAGGAAGATGCATGAATTAGTTGCACCGACAAGAGGTAACTCTTAAATGAAAAGAGTATAAGTGAAACATAGTCTTAAATATCTTATGTGCATTTTAAAATGGTATATTTATTTTTTGTTTCATCATCATCATCACCATTTCAGCCGTTATCCGTCCACTGCTGGACATAAGCCTTGTTTATTTGTTTATTCCTTTAGTACTCATAAAATAAACTTAGTTTTGGACTAGATAATGCTTTGCAATATGTCTAGTATGTATTTATTGGGGAGGGGGGGGGATTATTAGTAAAGGAGAAGCTAGTCTCCATTGATATCAATATACCTCACCAGGTCGACCTCCACGCGGTTCCCCCTGGAAACCATCGTGACTAATTTATCGTTGAATTCGTCACGATGGGCTAACTGACCCGCCTTTTCATTCACACCTATCATCTCTCACTGGTGCCCCGCTAGTGTATACCGATAGCGCGGGCGGGGTCATCATCCATTAAAAAAAAAAGTAAGAATTTATTATTATTACTATTACCAGATTAACCGGGGAGGCCCAGTATAAGGACTTCACATCGATTTGTCGACAAATCAATGTTGTAATAGACTTCAATCACGTAGTACAATGAGCGTGGACGACCATCGACGGTAATTGGTATTAAACACTCAAAAGTACTGATTTCTCGGTCCAGATGACATATTGGTCGGCAGAAGGCCATGTGACGATAATGGCACTCGATCAAAATTGTATGGCGACCTATAGGAAATACTTGGATAACAGAGTTTTTATGTCTATATTTATATAACGGAATTTTTTTTTATACAA